GAAGGCCCTGGCTTGGCATTGCTGGGTCTTTTACTTGCTGGGTGTGCATGCCTGTGATCCAGGCTGGCTGAGGCTGGGGGTGGATCACACCACCAAGACCCAGCTGGGAGTGCTTCTCTCTATCTCTGTCTCTTTCATGGAAAAAATAAACAAAATTTTAATAAGCACATTAGAGATAAAACTAGTTTCCTTTTTACCCCTCAGACGCGTTTGTCTCTGCCCACACCTCCCCAGAAGCACCACCATCATGCATTTGATACCTGTGTAGTACCTATAGGCATTCCCCCTCACTCTCTCTTTGTGTGTGTGTGTGTGTGCGTGTGTGTATTTATGAGGTTGTCGGAAAAGTCATGATTTTTTTCCCCTTGTTTTCCTATGGAAAAAATGTGTTCTGACTTTCCCAATGGCCCAATATAAACAGAACTGTTTGGTCAATTTGCTTTTCTAATTTTGCCAGAGGGTGCATATACCCACCAAAGAGAGACAGAGAGAGAGAGGAAGTGAGAAAACCACCCTCCATAGGAAATAGTCATGCCACAATCCCTTCTCCTTCATCTAAACCTCCTGTTGGGAACTTGGGCACACTTCCCATGCCGCCAGCATGTTTAAAAGTCACTAGGTCTCGACTGGAACTGCACAGTTGGCCATATGGGATCCAGCGACACCACAGTCCCTTCTCCTCCACTTTCCTCTCAGGATTTTGGACACACACACATGCCCAGTGTGTTTCTCAAGCCACCGGGTCCGATCTTGAAAAGAGTCAGCCATACAGGGTCCACTACCTTAATCACCACTTCAACTGCTGGTCCCATCAATATTTAAAAATTCCCCAAATTGAGATTTTGCAATACGTATCTTATGTACAACTTGCCCTTTTTTTTTACTCTAAAAAAAACCCCACTATATTTCACTTATGAGAACTGCATATATATCTGGCTAATTTATTTTAACTGCTAAATAGCCTTTATTCCGTATGTATGTCAGATATAACATGTAAACACATTACAGTACTTATCCATTCCCCTACTGCTGGACACTTCGTTTGTCGCCACTGTTTTGCTACTACTGACAATGGAGTTATGAACAGTCTTGGAAAATTCCTGGAAAAATGAAATTGAAGTATGAGTTTATTTTGGCACACACAAATTTGAAATCCATGAATTATGTGTTTTTCATAATAGGGATTGTCCATGAACTTTTTATAGATCCCTCATATATATTAAAAGATTAAATATGTTTTTCTCAAAATCACCAGATACTGGAATGTATGAGGTATGTTTATATATGGACTAATCTAAATTACACCTACATTTTCCTTGAATTCAATTCTTTAGAGGTAAATTTCAATTTCAAGACGGCATTGCAGTAGTAAAAGCAAACTTTATTTTCTGAAATTGAACATGTATTTAAGTAAAAACAACCTTAAACATGACTTTTCTATTATACTAAATTGAATTATGAAATTGAGAGACAGTTTATGCAAGGTAATTCTTACACACCTGATGTAGGAGTAGCTGAGACACAGGCAGAGCCTCTGTTTCTTGTTTGAAAAGCCTGTTTGCTTTCTCGAAAACATCTACCTTGGAGTAATTTTTAAGAGAAGGAGTCAAGTGGAGAAAAGGTGCAATTGCATAGAATCCCCTCACAGAAGGAGTCAAGTGTGCACTTAAAGGAAATAAAATCCAAGTGTGCTTTCTCGTGGGACTTCTATGCTCTGCCATCAGTCATACTTTTAATGCATTTCAACTGTGATAACGGAATCAGGGGAACCGTTGAAGTGATTAATGTGTTTTATCTGCCCAAAAGGAAGGTAACTCCACTTTGAGAGGCTAGTGTGGTGCCAATGGTATTTCTTTTTCAGTTGTAATTTAAAAAAAGAAAAAAGGAAATATCTTCTTGTTTTTTTTGCATTATAAAAATGAAACACATTTGAAACAGATGACTAAAAAAATAAATGTTATGTAACAGTGTGATATATAGTGCTACACATCAAATCACCACACTGTTAGGTGAGCAGACGCATCTCAAAGATCAACAGAAGCTTGATACCACCTTGTTTGTGGGCTATCCAGGACATGTTTTTCTAGCTCTGTTCTTTAGAAATGGAAAATTGAGTGGCAAGAAATGTCACCTGAACTCAAACGATGGCATATTTATTAGTCAGGGTGACATTTGTTCAACAGAATCGAACAACCCTCCAGCTTCAGAGCTCTCACACACAATGGCTTGTTCATCCCCTGAGCTTGTGTTCTCCAGAGATTCATGGAAGTCTCCATTCCAAAGGGTTACTCAGGGACCTGTGTCAACACCGGGCTGGAGTGGCACTACAGCGTGAAGACCTCGTGCCTGCCCTGTGCTTGGGCAGGGAAGTGACAATCGTTTGTCACAGGCTTTCAAATGTCTGCTTTCTATGCAGCGTGGTCCATACTGAGCCTGTGAATGGCTCCCATTTACGCTTCTTCTGCTACGTTCATGGGAGGGGAATTTAAGCAAGCTTCCTTCTGAGGTTTGGAAACTCCAGATCCCTGCTGAGTTCCCAAAGTGCTGTGCCATCAAGGTTTAACATCAGTAAGCCCTGGTATGTCCCCTCCATCAGAAAAGAGATCTGGACTGCTGTGAATTAGAAGGGCCCTGGTCTACAAGAAGCCCTCAGTAAATTGTCATGCTGGCAAAGGGGTGTGGTAGTGTAGACAGTGGTGAATTCTGGGGAATAGATCATGACAACCTTTGTCGTATTAGCAAAGATATTGTGTTGTCTCCTGGGGTGGCTATTACCAAATTGCATGCCTTGAAATGATTAAATAAATAAATAGAAATAAAATTATTCTGTCACAGTTTGAGAGGCCAGAAGTTCCAAATCAGCAAGGCAGCATTCCCTGTGAAGGCTGATGGGGGTTCCTAACTCCTCCCGGCTCCGATGACTCCAGGGGTTCCTCGGCTCCTGGCTAGATGCCTCCACTCCCTGCCTCCATCTTCACACGGCCTTCTCTGTGGCTGCCTCTCCTCTTCTATCTCTCACAAGGACATTGGGCATCGTATTCTTGCAGGACGATCTCACCTGAGAGATCATTAACTCGATTACATCTTTAAAAGCTCCATTTTCCAAATCAGATAGCATCCATAAGTTATAGGGGTTTGATGTGGACATATCTTTCGGGGAGAGAGGTCACCATCATTCCGCCTGCTACAAATACAGAAGTATTTTCTACCCCCATGTAAGTCCGTGGTTTACAAACATTTACAGTAGAATACCACCTAGAGAGTTTGTCCAAGTCTTAAAAGCTAGAGGAGTGAAGTGGTGGAGCTACTCCTCACTCACAGTGGGTTACTAATGGAACTATCATCTGCTGGTTTCCAAGGTTAGCACAGAGGACTTCAGGTAAGCGACCCGGCCAGCGCCCAGTCCCCGCCCAGTCAACTGGCTTTCTGACCTTGTCTGTCTCTGTGGGGCTGCAATACATACAGTGAAGGTTGTAGGTGATTTTGAGACAAGTAAACACTGGAAATACTCAGAATCCATATGCCTGGCTTCCAGCCCACCTGCTAAAAATGACCTGTGGGGCTGATATTTAAACATTAGGATTTTGATATTCATATCCTTGGAAAATAATGATTGATAGCTTTTTAAAGGGATAAATAGCCATGACGACTATGATTCTGACTTACTGTGGCGTTCTTGAATTTTAATATTGTAGCGCCTTCCAGTAAATGCCACTTACTAAGTAAACCTAGCCCATAATTTTTTAAATAATGATTTTAGAATTACATTTTTATTTTAAGGGTTAAAGTTTGCTGTTAAGTGTTACTATTATGTACTGTTACAGCTTTCTAATGTAAGGAAAAGAGTTGCATTAGACTGAATTTGTAATGTTCTCATTTCATGTTTAAATTCTGTCTGTAGCTCTCATTATAAAACCATTTTCCAGTTTGCTAATATGGATAAGCTTTGGAGTAAGATACCCTATAAAAGTCACATGTCTCTTAAGGGACTATTCTTTGTGTTCATTTACATCAATCATAGCTTTTCTGAACATTGATTTATACCTGAATTCCCTCTATTCCCTGTAAATGAATTCAGAAGCCAACTCAAAGGTACAGATTAAAGGTCTAAATCCACCGGCTGTTCTAAACTGATGAGCTATTCATAGGAGCTGCTTGATCAGGGTAAAAGATAGGGTGACACAGTGTAGAAAGTCATTCTGCAAATGATGTCTGTCAGTAACCGGCACCTGGATTTCTTACAATCATTGCTGCACATAATGGGGGCATGTAGGAGGTGTTGGCACATGCAGTGAGACAGTGGTTAAGATTTAGAAATTAAATTTATTTATTTTTATTTAACAAACCATTCAAAATAAAGCTGTCTTGCTACATAGAGCCTCTCCAGACAATGTCTTTGGCATGTTGTGGATGTAAACAACGCATGTCTGGATCGCTTTATAAGATGTGCAGTTAAGTGAGGGTTTTAGAAATGTGTGTTCATTTGGTGGGAAAGTGCTGTAATTTTTAAATTACATAATTTAATCTATAATAGTCAACTCAAGGGAAATGATCATGTGATATGTATAAAAGAAGGCACAGATTTATTTTATCTTCTTTATAATAAAAAGGGAGATAGTTTCTTCTTTTTAGGCTACCTACAAAGTCTATAGGACACTATTCAGACTTGTATTTTATTACAACTAAAATTGGGTAAAATTGCATTTATGTAGACACTATTGAATGAATCTAATAGGTTGGGTTTTATTTTAAAAAAATGAGCAGTTCATCTGAAAATTTCTGAACAGGGTTCATTCATGACATGCTAATACCTGTGAATCAGAAGAGATATACAGCAATGGATGAAAGCTAAGATTGTATCAAAATGGGATTCCTTTTCTTAGTATAAGTTTTGTAAAAAGTCCTCATCACTACTACCCTGATTTACTTTTGTGTCTCAGAGTTTAAAGTCCCTTCTTTCCTCATCAATACATTATATCTACATATTTTCTTTCTTACAGTTCAGCAGAAGAACAGTTTCATTGGCAGTCACAAGGTAAAGTAGTGTCTTGATGAATACTTATACACATCTTGGCTGATTAATATTCTTATGAACTTTAGGTGGAGACTTACAACAGTGAATAAGAAAACACTATGACAGTAACCTTTCAGTGACTTTGTTGTGATAGCTCACAATGTATTGGGAGTTACAGTCTCTCAGTTCTCTAGTAACTTTATATTGTTCATGGATACAGGGAATTGGCAAGCCCTGGCTTTAATGCTGCTGACCAAGTATTGTAATGTGGAATCTAGTGGGAATTCTGTGGAGGTAATATAGTTGGTTAGACTACTTCACATTGTTACATGATAACCTAAAGCTTTACATATCAGGTGTTGTTCATCACCTTCAATGTTTTATTTCAGATGGTCAAAAAGATATTGAAGATGAACTTACCACAGGTCTCGAGCTGGTGGACTCCTGCATTAGGTCTCTGCAGGAATCAGGAATTCTTGACCCACAGGATTACTCCACAAGTGAAAGTAAGTCCAGCACAGTTATGCCCCAAGAGGGTTAACATATCCAGGTAGTATGCCATTGTTTTCTTATATAATTGATAGCATCAGTCATATCTAATGAGGACTTCATGTTTCTATGCTTGTTTTATCCATTTTACTTCACTTTCATCTTCTCTCTTCCTACATTATTCCACCCAGATTCACATCAGAAAAACTCTCTGAACCAGCAGTTGACATTTCTCACCAATTATTGCCACATCGTTGTTTTTTACTTGGTGTCTGGCATCTTTGAGACTAGCACGTTTTATGAAATGGTCATACGTTTGTGTGTTCACCCCAGTTGTCTGCCTCGAAATTAGCTATCAATACTTTACTCATACAGATTATTGTTGACAGAAATCTTAAAAAGCACATACACATGCCCAGAATCGTAGGAGGAGAATAGAGGAGAAGGGATTGTGGAATCCCCTCCACCCTGGAGTGATGCCTCACATTCACTCTCCCTGTCTCACTGCCTCTCTCATCTCCAGGGAGCCCATGCATTCTACAGGGAAAAACAAAAATTAAAGCAGCAGTTATATAACAAAATAGAGAACCATTGATGTAGTATCTACTGATGTAATATATTCAGTGTTAACTATTTAGTACTGAAGTATAATTACTGTGTAACATCTCACAGTTCTATATTTAACCATCTTGCATTACTATATTAATTCCAACAGAATATTTAAAGATTTTCTTATCTCCACTTAATTATATATGATTTATCCAGAATGATTGAGGCTTAGAAATAAAACATTAGAATTAAAATGAGCCTCTTTTAAATAAATCTTAAAAATTCTCTCGACTTATTTTAATAAAATTCCACAAAAGGCTAAAAGTTAAATCATTAAAGCGTACATTACTCTGTTAATTTCTATATCACAAGTCAGTGAAGCATTTTATTCCTTAATTTGAAAAAATAAAACTTCCTTGAATATCCATCAAGGTTTGCCCTATAAAAGGAAGACACAGGAAGAAGAGAGCATACTGATCTTAAAAGCCGTTTAATTTACATATTAGCTCATTTCTTCTCTAATCTTCATAATGCCATGACTCTTAGGATAACGTCATTTACCCAGACCTATTTAAACCCATTTTCATCCCCTTAATAAAGCTCCAAAAGGAAATGCGTGATTGGTTTTACCTTCGCTCTCTGTATTTTATGTTTAAACCATGTAATTTTACCACTTTTCCCTCAGAGTTCTGAAATGTGTTTCTCTAGTAGAAGTAGCTGTAATTCAAATGCATTGAATTAATATTTGAAACACAAGCACTTTATTAGAGAGTAAGGAGAGCACAAGAGAGAAACTCATGCATCTTGGAGGGAGGGAGAGATACCTCGTTTCTACTCTATTACATGTTTTTTACTTATTTGCTCATTTTAGGCAGGATATCTCTGTCAAGATCCTCCTGTCTCAGCCTCTGGCTGAGCTGAGACTACAGTGATGTCCACCATCCCTGGCTTTTAGGTTGGGCTGGGATCTGAACCTGGGCCTCCAGTGGCCTCAGTCTAATGTGCAGCAGTGTCTGCCAGCTCATGGCTCCATAGCTTGGCTCTCATTTTTCATTGAATAGTAAAATATTTTATTATAAATTTCGGAACAGAGGTCATGTCTAATAAATGTAAAGTGCATTAAAAAAGAGTAAAAGTTAAATAAGAGGCAAAGAAATTAAAATAAAAGGGATAAGTCTGACATACCATTCCAACTTTACAGGCAACCACAATGAATTCTCTAAATGGAATAAAAATACACATTTGTAGTAAACAAAGATATAGTCATTCTGTGATGTTTCTAGGAAAAACACTTGTATTAGTAAAACAAATGTTGAAATTAAACGAATAGAAAAAAGTAATGTAGCAAATATAATGAAGTTAAAGAGTGGAACTGGAAGAATAATGTTAGATTAAATAGCATTTAACATAGAAGCACTAACCAGGGCCATTTCGGGGAATCATGTAGTAAAACTGTCTTAACTTATAAATATAATGAATACAAATGCACCAGTCAACATAGCATCTGGATATTAAAACAAAAATTAATGAAAACAAAAGATGTTGATACAATATTATTGTGGACATTTCCACCCATATTTCTCAAAATCAGATGCATACTAAAACAAAAAGCCACAATAAGCTGGAATGAAATAAGTAACAAATCAGTGTACTAAATAAGTTGTACACGTTTTTTCTATTGAATGATAATGTATGCTTATTATATATCCCCAGGTAAAATTTACAAAAATCAATCAGTTATTGGAAGGTAAAGACTATCATAAAAATAAGTATAGAAGGACATTTTCTTTCATAGTGATCCATTAAAATTAGGAGTAAATAATACAATAATATACAAAAATGTAATCACCTTAAAACTAAAAAACATGCTTTTGGATAGCTACTGATCAAAATAGAAGCAAAAAAGGAAAATTACATAATAGGAAGTAAATAAAAGGAACATTTTATAATTATAAAATCTAAGGACAAAAAAAAACTACATTTAGTTTTATCTTACCAATATTATTTTAAAAAATTAAAAAGACAAAAAAAATGCTCTACAGGCACTCCTCACTTGGCTACCAAGTTACGTTCCTAAGACGAAGTCATTAAGCAAATTGGTCAATACGCAAGGAGCTTAAAGGCACGTGTGTGTTGTGTCGTGGTGCCACAGGGTATGCATGTTTCCATAGACCTCATGTGACACCACACCAGAATAACATCATGCTGTCCACACAAAATGCATACGTGGAATATATGCCCCAAAGCAACAAGACACATCACAACACAGTAATATGTATATCTGGCAGAATCATTTTTCTTGATTCTGAATACTATTATGGGTGCACAGTAAATACACATTTCTAATTGAAATATTTAGTCTGCACAATTGCAAATACTTAGTGCAGTGAATACTGCAGGAGTGAGACAAAGGTAAGGAAAGGGGATTCCCAACACACAAACACACACACACAAAGACACACACAAACATACACACACAAACACACACAGAAACACACACACAAACATACACATACAAACACACACACGTGCGCGCACACACACATGCGGGATTCCCCGTACTGGAGCAACTGGTCATAAATTCAAGCAGTGGTTAAAAAACAGGTAGATCATTAAGTGAGGAGCAGTGTACTCATTGGGGAGATAACTTAAAAAGAGCTAAATAAATTTTAAAAAGAAGATGGAAACAATAAGAAGTAATAAAGGGACCCCTATTAAGTGTGATGCAGCAGATGCTATATCCCAAGTGGCTGACGTGGATTTGAGTCTCAGTCTTGGTGGCATGAAAATGACACTGTGCATAGACAGATAGTGCCTGTCATCCTGACAGGACAGAGAACCCGAGGGAAAAAGATCATAGCATAGGCAGGCCCTGAGGTGGGGTCCTACCTCTTTTCTCCCAACCTCTCATACATGTGCCCTTAGACCTATAAAAAAGTAATGCAGATATAAAGCAGTGAAAAAAGAAATGCTAGATGAGATGAATAAATTGTAGAAGAGATCAAATAAATAGAAGGGAAATAAAACTGTAAATCAAATCATCACACTGAGCTCTCTTAGTTGAGAAACTCCGCTACATGAAGGAAAATGGAAAGAATTTATAATATTCAATTTTGTTTTCCTGTAATATGTGTTAAAAATGACCTGTAAATGGTGGATCTTTATTATGAGAAATTGAATATTCTAGTAGAGTTTTTTCAAATCTATTTTGTAGCTGCCCACTTCTTACTTTTCAGAAGGATTCATCCCTTTATATTTTTACAAACTGAAATGCCTTTTTAGAGACTCGTGGGATTTCAGTGGTTACTCTTTCTGTACGCGTCTATATCCTGGTTTGAAGGAAGGAACAAACAAACAAAACAAACAGAAACAAGTGATGGAAGTGCCAACCAGAAGTTTTATGCCAAAGGGTTCTGAATGTCAATGAAAAATAGGATATATTTTATTCTTGAGAAATTTTTGCCCTTAACTTTTTCAGAGTCACTTTGAGACTGAAATAACTAAGTAAAATGTAGGAAAATAATTTTTAAATATTGGGTAGAAAACTGTCCTGTAGGGGATTAAGATTGCTAATTTTCAGTGTTCAGAAGGTCATAAAATATCACTCCATGCATTTTTATCAGAGTCCAGAGGAGATATGGATTCTACCTAAAAGAGTGTAAGTGCAGAGAACTGAATTAAGTGCTACAAAGAAGTGGGCAAGACACAGCACTGTGGAGGTACTCAAGGAGTGGTGGCCAACAGACAGAAGCCCTTACCCACCTAGACTGGAAGGAAGGTCAGGGAGTGCCAGAGTAGTACCAGAGTCAGGCAACATGAAGGAAGCAGGTGAATAAATACTGAATTTTTTTCTCCTCCTTACTCCCCATCTTCTCATGCTTCCCATTGGCCAAAGTCAATCAGAGCCAAAGACTTGGCACCCTTGTCTATGTGGGAGATGATCAAAGAAAGAAAATGTGAAACAAAAAGGATGATCCCTGCGAGGTTCTACTCAACAGTAGGACAATATACCACTTCTGTCCTCAACATAGGAACTGGGCAAATGGCTATGTAGTCATCTTTGGTACATTTCATCTAGTGAGGGAAAGCCCTTCAGATTCCGCTCAGCCTTTGTGATTGTTCAGTCTATGGATCCATGAGCATGAACTACTACTAAGTTGGACCCAGCACCTTCCCTTGAGAACTTTAATCTGACCTCAAAAGGGACTGGAGGGACCAGCAGTTAGTATAATGGCCATGTCGCAGGACTCCCACGTAGTAGACCGTGGTTCAAATCCCAAACCCAGTGGCTTAAACTCATGCCGGGCACATGTGCGTGCGTGCCCAAGATCCCGAGAGGAGACTGGAGGAGAAGGGATTGCGGCATGTCCATCTCCCCTGAAGGGGTGATTTCTCGCTTTCTGTCTCTCTGTCTCTCTCTGTCTGTCTGTCTGGCGAATGCACTCGCTCTATAGCAAAAACCTCTCCA